AAGAACTCTGGCATTGTTCTTCAGTGGTACCTTGAAACCTTTTGTCACATCCATTAAACCTAGTGTTTTGAAGTGACACTAGATTATATTCAACAAAGACGGAACCTTTTCCATCATCTTCCCAAAGCTCAAAGTCTGGTTTGCAGCTGCCAAACTTGTGATTTGGATCTCTCGGAGAATAATTAGAAGGGCAATTACAGCTGACACTTTGAGCCACTTTATCATAACTACAAATACTGTTATACCCACACACTACAGAGCAGATGTTACCTGGTTGTGAATACATCTTGGACCAACCAACTTTATCGTTTTTTTTGTAAATTTCTTGGGTGATAATACCATGTAAGCACTCCATAATAATTCAGAGTTGCTCTCTGATAATAATCTCTGGCAGATGCTACACCTATATTATCTGGGATGAAATTATACAATATGGTGCCATTTTCTGCCACTATGTACATATGCCCCGACTCATTATAGATCAATTGCTTACCTTGATTTGGAGGACTCCAAGTGTTACTAGCATAGTAAGGTTGAGCATTGGGCCAGTAAATAGTTGGGTCCATTACATTAAATACCACATTCCCATCTCCTTGCAGGCGCAGTTGGAACCTGCCTTTGGTGAAATTAGTATCTGAAAGTCGAGAATCAACAGCCCCTTCTAGGTTTATGATTTGGGTTGGCAGCAAAGTGTCTGTTGGATGAGCAAAGCTCTGCCAAATTGGATTGTTATTGCTGCTACTTGTCAGGATAAAATTCCCGGTATCATTCATGAAGGCACTGCTAATAGCATTGGTACCATTTAAATCAGAAGAGGTATTCCATAGGTTAGAGCCTTGAGGATCACTGAGTATTAGACCCTCATTAGCATTTAATGTAACAGTTGATCCTTGGGGAACAGGATTACCATTATTTGCATACCAGACAATTGTGTCTGGGATCTTGGCATACCAAATAGCAAGCAAGAAGAGATTAGTGTGGTTGAGAAATTGATGAAAGCCAAAGGCGAAATTGCCTGAAGGCGAAAGCCATGATGTTTCATTGATGGTAGCTGTGAGAGATTGGCCAACTTGTATATTGCCTCTAGTTTGAGCTGAAATGGATGATGTTAATAGGAGGATAAGTGCTGTAAAGAAGGAAAAGATGCAAGAAAGAGGCTTAGCCATTGCTAAAAAAAAAGGGATTTTTTTATTTTGAGGGAAGAATTTTATTACCAATAGACATGTATTGTGAACCAGAAAAGGCTGGTTGCTAAATAAAGATACAAGGACAACTTATTTCCAGAAAAGTCAACCGAGTCTTCTCTATTTTTGTTATGAGGAAATGTTGAATAGTCTAAGGCTACTCAAAAATCTGGTCATAATTTTACACTATACTATGTTTTAGTGATGTCAATTGAATATTATCACGCTGTCTAGAATTTGTGGTGACAATAAGTCGTTGATAGTGTAATTCAAACTTATTAGATGACTGAATCCGGATAGAGGAAGTATTGGAGCGGTGGTCAAACTCGTGGGCATTGTATTACATAAATTGTCAAGATAGCCTGTAGTGATGAACGTATATTTTAGATTGCAATTACTAATTACTGTACTACTCCATAGTTATAATTGCCGTGAAATAGCATGTAATTATATGTGATTCATATGGTCATAACACAAAAATAAAAAGTCTACCCCTTCCCACACGATGTGTATTGTTTTTGGTTTGAAAATACCTGCCGTGTGTTTTACAGTTGTACACATCTTTCAAGGAAAAAACTCAGCTTAGAAACTCATTTTTCTGTTTGTATTTTTTGTATGGAAGAGTTTTCTTTTTATTTAGTAAAATTATTGACATTGTTTTCTATGAGTAAAGATGAATTATCTTTGATTTTGAATTGCTTGGTGGTCCAAGTTAGGACTATTCCAAGTTAGGTCAATGATTGCTAGTTCTACCATTGAAAGGGAACAAAGTCAAAGTAAACGATTTTTTTATCTGGCAGAACTTTTGCCACGCCAATTTATTGTGCTTAGTGTGGATGCTTGCTAGCTTAGTTTTAATCGTTTCAGGGTACTTCACTTGATCATTTGCTAATAAGCCTCTATTAGAAAACCCTCCCCTCTTATGTAAAAAGAATACGGAAGTTAAAAGGGAACTATGGATTTTATTTGATGTTGCCATGTTGGTACATGGGTGACTATTGCTTTGCTTTTTTTTCTTTCCATCTCTTTCATTTGAATTGTAACTTGTTTCACTAATTAGATCAAATTATTGCAGATGCAGTGGAGTGTGGTATGGCGCATTGAGCAAGTCTACTTTGGTGGCTTCATACTTCAATGTAATTCTGTTATCACTATTGATGTGATTTAGAAGGTCCCATACTAAGATATGACAAGTAACCACCAGAGAACATTTCAACCTTATAAGAGCTACTATTTCATTTTGGAATTTATTGTCACATTGATGAGATGATCTAGATGACCTAATGTGGTAACTTCGACCTTAGATGCAGGTATTAAACATCTACTTCTAACATGTATTATTAGTCTGGTCTTAATGGTAACTTCGACCTTAGATGCAGGCTCACACATTTGATCAATGTATTATAAAATCATGGTTTGCGGTGGTATGATTTTTGTTGACCACAATCAGATTAATCATATTAGACAATATAAAGGAAACAGCTAGGGAACATTATTTTGTTTTAACATAATCTACATAGTTAACGATATGATTTTACAAATTTATTGTATTCGTTGCTTAAAAGTGGTAGCATATTAGGAAAGTTAATCACAAATTACTCTCTTTTATACTAGTAAAGATGACAACTTTCCTAGATTATGTGATAAATAATCTATGTAACTATTAATCCGGATAGAGAGAGCATTATGTAGATAATTACAAGTGATTGTGAACGCATTGTGCCTTGTAAACATTACACGAACTTGTAGGTAGAAGCAAATTTTGTGTCTTAAGCTCAAACTATTTTGTGATTTTTGACTGCTGTATATGAAGTACATTAGGCTTATCCTAAGCTTTATTGAGACTTAGCTTTCTATTATCTTCTTGTTTGACTGTCACATTGCCATAAATCTTTGATATGCTTGCTTATCTTGTTGGTGTTTGAATGCACAATTTTGAATTGTTCAGAGTTAAAGCCTGTGTGTTTTGATTGTTAATAGCTAAAGTGATTGTTGATGCCAAAATGTAGATAAGGATGTTCATTGTTTAAAATAATTAGGAATCAGTTGTCCCTTGCTACAATAGCCTGGGCAGCCGGATCTTTTCGGAACTCCATTGTGTTTTCTGGTTGAAATGACAAGATTTTGGTAGCCAATTACAGGACTTGAAGCTTCCATGGCTTTTAAAGCTTCTGTGGTTTTTGCCTGAAGCCATGGCAGCAATTTTGGGGGCGGTCGCCTTGTTAGGAGACTATTATCAAATTTTGCCATTTTGGAGCTTGTATGTGATGCCATGAGGGTTAAGAAGGTATATATATATATATAGCCGGGTGCATGGTATATCTAAAGGATTTTAATCGTTCAATATAAACTTTAGATGCACCTACCTCTATGTGCACTAGGGTGTAGGAGTGATGCCAAAACACAAAAATAAAACATGATTTTTATTTTTGTCTTTTTATTGTAGTCATATCAAAAGGATTGGAAATATAGTTGCTCAAATAGAGATTAGTTGATCATGTGAACTCTTTTCAATTGATAGGACTTTATTGTCTTGATTTTTTAAATATAGCCCCTTAATTCTAATCTTTCCCTCTTTAAGAATTTTCCACCAAATTTTCCTTAAAAGCACAGATACTATAGCTATATCCACTAATTCACTATATATAATACACTGTAATGTCATACAATAAACTTGTAATAGTATGCACAATAACACAATACATGCCATTGTTACTTAAGTCCTTCCCTAACACCCCAAATTCTTATGTGATGAGGTTCCGAATATACATTTCTTATTTTGAGACTATACGTAAAAAAATCTAACCAAAGTCAATATTGATTGGTGTTAAGTAACAAACACAACACAAATAAATTACTTTGTATAATAACACGGAGTAAAGCCAAACAAAAAAAAAAAAAAAAAACCTCGTAATATGATTAATTGTTAGAATCGTTTCTTGTAACTCGTCAATACCAATTCAACATAATTTTGAATAAATGAACTAAATCCATTCTCATAAATTTATAAAAGGTTTATTATGGTTTCAACTTTCAAATCGGTTTATATAACCTCATGAGACATCCAATACATAATTTTGAAAAAATTTACAAAAATTGGATTAAAAACGTGAATTATAACCTTTTATTTTGGAAAATTTTCAACTTTTTCAAAAGAAGAAAAAAAAAATGCTTCGCTAGTCCGCATGGGCAAATAACACCTTAGGAGGCAATTTGGATACTTAAAATCATCCACTTTGCTTTTAAATTGTCATTTTAGCTATTACAAATTTACACCTTACCGTCTTGTTAAAAAAAAACTTACACCTCCCTTAATTTCTCATCACAAGACTTTGTGTGACATATTATTGGTCATTTATATATATGGTTCCAAAGAACATTTGTCAATTAAGTTATATATGTATATGCCTCTTTTCATTGCCTCAAGGACAACATATGCATATAGGTAATGATCATATATTGTTCCCAACAACATTATATGAACCTATGATGCATCTCTACACTCCTAATATTTGACACTAGATCCTGAAAACTCCAAATCCGTCTACTAATGTGAGAGTGAATTCTTACCAGTTACCATTAGACCAAGAAGAACTACTAGGTGCATACTGGTAAACTAGGTAATACTCTACATGCCAAAAATAATAGTTGAGACTTTGTATTTCTATTTAATATCCTTTTGATTAAATTTGGCACAAATTTGCAACTATTACAAAGAACTAAAGTAACTACCTCATTAAAACATGTGAGAATCAATGTTAAATCTACTCTCTTCATGTTCATTATTCACCTCTGAAACAGAAGAGTTAATCTGTATTGGTTTCTCTTTTGACAGTCAAATTTTGATTAAGAATATCTCGAAAGCATTTTCAGCTACAAATACAGCAATATAACTATGGTTATACTACTGTTAAATTTAACAAGCAAGATAAGTTATTGGATGAATCTAACAAACAGAAAGTACAATAGAAAATCAACTGTTCTAAATTTTCTCATCAGATCATCCTCTTACTATCACTCTCAATTTCTCAAACAGAAGAAATTGGCCTAGTACTGCTGTAAATACTTTGTAAGCTCCTATATTTTTGTCTCTTCATCTCACCTCTAGGACAGCCATTCTTTTGAATTGCAGGCACAACATTTTCCCCTTCTTCCGGATAAACATAATACTGACTCTTCCGCTTGTTGAATGGAAGTAGCTTCTCTGTTATAAAGTCACATAAAACTTTGTGAACGTCAGCACGAATGAATTCAGTATGCTTCATCCACCGGAAAAATCATGAAAAAAAAAACTTTTTTTCTAAGCCAATGCATTGTTTAAAATAAAAGTTTCAGAAATATGAAGCTAAATAGATGATTCCCATTTCCTTGCCATTGTGATCTCATTCGGAGCCTTCAGGAACTCTTTTTAAAGGATAGAACTACTCCATACAACATATAATCCCATTAACAGATTACAGATTCAACCAAATTAGATTAAATTTTTCACTTAATTTTGAGGGGGATATTCTGCCACAACTATATAAGTAGATAATACATGTTTTCTTCCTCAATTAATTTAAACAGAATTTCTCAAATTTTCAACAAACACCAAATATTTATGCTTTTGGGCTAATAAATCCGGCTGAAATGGATTTGTAAAATTGATAACGATATAAAATATCTACTCATCGATTTCGAAATTTAGCTTTTGCTAGGAGATATAATCAATGGCTGATCTCAAATCAAAAGTTAGAAATCAAAGATTACCATCTTAATAGATCAACATGCATAACAACTTAACAAGGAATCTATATTATCAGGAAAACCGGCATACCTGAATAAGAAGAAACCTTAGAATTTGATGCATTGACTGTGAGCTCATGAGAGTCAAGCTTCCTATCAGAAATAACACAATGCCTAAATCATTTGTCTCTCTTTATGATGGATACTCCGTTCGTGTTTTTTGAAGTGTTACACTTACCAAATCCGGCCGTGTTTTAATAAGTGTTACACTTCTTTTTTTTTTGGCAAAAAGCTACATTAAAATATTATATATTTCTCCTCTCATGGTCCCCACCTAAACCCACTACTACTTTTTTTTTTTATTATATCTCTCCTCTCACATTCATTACTTTTCAATAAACTATTAACCCAATTAACCCCACTATATTTCTTTTTTAATTTTTTAATACTCCAACTACCCCACTTACCTCATATTTTATTTAAGTCAATTAAATTGCCTAAAACTATGTGCCGGTCAAAGTGTAACACTTAAAAAAACACGGAGGGAGTAGATAGGATCTTAACGTTTAAATTCTCATCTTCAACATAGCCGTTTCACAAAAATGTAAGAGAGAGTAGAACTTACTTGAGTACATCAACGGAATCCTCTGAGCTGTTTAACTGTTGGCTGCAGTCTGGGGGAAGGTTAAGATCGGGGATAAGACCCTGAAGCGGCCTCTCCGGCTCCCCCCTTTCAGCACCTATTCCTCTGTTTTCTTCTGTCACGGTGCTGTGCTTATGAAGAATCAGCTTTTGACACTTTAACTGCATTTTGCACATCACTCTGTGACAGAAATACTTCTGGAATTGTCTATGCTCAGACAATTAGTGAAGAAGGCAAGGGTGGCTAAACAAAATTGAAAATTTGCCTGCTTTATAACTCAGACTATGACACGAGCATGGACGCTTAACACTTCATTTTAGACAAAACACATGCAGTAATTATACAGAATGGTCAATTCCTAGTAACATAATTCATATATATAAATACTTTTTTTTTTCTCCTTTGAATCCAATCTATTCTGTATCATAATAATTTGAGAAATGTGAATAGAAAAATCAAGCAGCTGATATACTTCCATATCTAGCAGGATATCTTTGATATGCAAATCAGGAGATTGCTTCTGCATAAGGAAATAATCCTAAAATGTGAATATTATTATTATTTTTTTTTTTTCCACTGTTTTTGACATGATAATTTTCCAAATTGGCTATTAATTATTATAATCAAATTAAATAAAAAAAAAATTGGTTTCAAAAAAAATAAATAAATAAATAAAAAATTACTTATAAACATACTGGGCTGATTTTGCAATGTCCACATGTAGTTCTTGGTTCATTTCTAAAAGAGTAAGAAATTCATCCATTCTTAGACGTTTGAAACATAATAGACCAAATTAAAAGGTTCATAATACTTTTTATGTTTCCTAACAATTTTCTGAAAAAAAAATGTACACTTATTGTGCATAAAACTAAGGAACAACTAGAACAACCTCTGTTAATGCAAGGGTATAGTCGCAGACCTGCATACATCCAAACCCCACAGCTCTACCCCCTCTCTCGGTAGAGACAATAGGGTGATGTTAAAAACTCTCATATATTACTAAACAGTCTCTCCTGTGCCTGTTGGAGGCTGGCTCGGTAGAGACGATAGGGTGATGTTAAAAATTCTCATATATTACTAAACAGTCAGCTGTTTAGCACTGTCTTTATTTTTGAAAGTAAGGAAAATTTAGCAGGAAATTATACAGCTCGTAGTATTTAAAAGAAGAATAAAAACAGCATACTTTGTCAAGAAAATCTACCTGAAGCACCAACTACTAGAACCCCGGAAACAGGGCATGATATTTGATTAATGCCACATCTGTTAAGTATAGACTTGAACACAAATGCTCCAACCACAGTGCAAGGATTACTGCTTTGACTCAACTGGGGATACTCATTTCTCTGTCACAAGTGAACAGACACATACTTAAGCTGATGCCAAACAATATACTCAAGAAAATAAGCAGCTGTTAGTAATAGAATGAATTTTGGGCAGAAATATAGGAAGAAGATGATGGACATTAGTATTAGAAGCGGGAAATTACAGAAAGTAAGAGATAATACAAGCTTTCTAGAGGCTTGTTCTCTCCCAAAACATAAACAAAGCTAACAGAAACACTAAATAATATTCAGCGTGATGTTTTCTTGCTGATCTCTTTATATATAGCTTATCTCAAACTAATGGATTTCCTTCCTCTTCAAACAACTAATTGTGCAATTAATGGATAGCCTAATTAAGCTTTATTAGTTTCTTCGTAAACAACTTTTTGTGCATTGCTTACATTACCCCTCACCAATAAACCAATATATTACACAATTCCAATGGCACAAAAATTTATAGCAGCAACTTTTTTTTGCCTACTATGTTGTGACAAGCACACTAAGTTAATAGAAAGTTAACAGGAGTAGAATACCTTTGTTCATGCAGGCAGTACACCAGGATCTAGTGGCAAATTGCCAATGTCTCTCTTTCGCAAATTTCATCTCCTTTAATCTCACTATTAATTCTCTGTTTTTAGTTCAATTCTACTATCTGATTCAAATAGAGCAAGTAAAACAGAGGAATGTACACATGCACACAAAAAGATAAATACTGATATTTAACAAATTTTGAAGGCTTGAAATCTTACATATGATAAACAGATGATAAGCTTACATATGAAAAACAGAGGAAGAGCTCACATATGATAAACAGATGAGAGCTTATTACCCCATAGTCAATGAACTTTTATATTAAAGAATCAGTAACGAAGTAAATAAGAAACCAAGCAGTATGCTATTTCTGTCTTAGAATTCACATCAGGGTGATAAATCACCAATCATGCATATATAAGATCTTGATTCAAGATTTCGAGTTCAATTAGTTTTTCTGGTTATTTCCCTTTTCCACAATCAGCACAGTATATATCAAATGTCATGCAATCAATGTAATGTAAATCTACAGAAAAAAATTTAATGTTATAATGAGGTACATCAAATTAAGTTTAAAATTAGATCAGCTCTCTTTTACAACAAAGTGATCAAACTATACTTGCAAATCACAATTAACACCAACACTTTTGCACATATGATTGATAATTCTTTAATTATAGTATCTTAATTAACTAATTACACTTCTACTACTCTCATAACAAAAACAAAAACCAAAAAAAAAAAAAAAAAAAAAAAAAAAAAACACTTAAAAAGGCGAGGGATCTAAAGAAAAATCTCTGCAATGATCTATCTCCTCTGTATCATGCTGATAGGGAAATGGATGCAGAGACCTTGCAAAAAAGTAGAAAGAACTGAAATTTAACTACCCTTTCCTACACTGATCTGAAGACTAACACTGACAAGGAAGCTTATTCGTCGTAGGATTTGAACCAGTCAATGGCGCCCTCCTCCTCAAACTGGTCGGCAAGAAAGCTTGTACAGGCCTCTTTGCTGCTTCATTCAACTGGTTTAGATCAGAAAGATTTTGTGAAAATGAAGAAAGCAGTTTTCTTGGATGACTTCTTTCCCTAGGGCGAGTCATTCCTTGGTGGTACTGCAGAGTGAAGAAAGAACCCATGGCACAGTGAATGAGAATATAAAAAACTAAGACAGACAAAAATCTTCGAGCAATTTTCATGGCTTTTCAGTTCAGAAGGGATAGCGAGCTACATGTATCAAATGAAATGTGATTTTTCTCAGGTTCTGCCTTCAAGATGAGGAATATAGTCATGTAACTTTCTGACATGAGGTCTATGCCTGACCAAGAAACATTGATTAGAAGCAACTTCAGTATTTTAATAACCACTTATCCATGTATAATTTAATATGCAGATACGGGCAGAGTATTTGGTTATGCTTCCTGTTCCACAAAAAACCAACCAGGTCAAGAAACTCAAGATATTAGATACACACAATATCATAATCACAACACCTAGCATTTAACTAAAGAATTTTTTAACTCCTCAATTTCCACCCACTCTATACATAGAAAGATGCGACACTAGTAGCTAAGGTGAAACGACTTATTACTAGTTAAACGGAATAATACAGATACAACTAAGTTAAACAGAAATATACAGCAGTTAAGATTTTACAGTTTTACAAGCTTGTTCTGAAACTCAGGTCCGGTAAATAAAGTTTATAAAGCATAATCATAAGATCTTTACTTCAAATTTTGTAGGATTCAGAGCTCAGAAGCTGCTAATCATGTGATAATGAATTGACAGGCATTATGTATGTTTGATAGCCTAATTTATCAAAATTTTAAACAGACATGCCTCATGTGACTGATCACATGACATTGAGTCAGTTCTCTCAGTTATCTGTCCCCTTTTCCATATTAAAATGCTTAATCTCTTCCAGTATCTCTTAAGAACATCATAAACAGCCAAGGTTAGCTGGGAAAGCACGCTTCTACAGAAGAGTAACAAATTCTTAACTGTAGTTTCTGACTGCTGTTTTCCAATGTTCTGTCTTCAGAGGAAAAGATATTGAATAATCTCCATAGTCCATACCCCAAAAATAATATTCCCTCCTTCACAGACGGACGAATAATACTAAGTACAATGGAGAACCCTTTATAGTTCTCCAACCGAACCAAAGCCTCTAAGACTCTTTCGTTCTCACAGTAGCTGGTTTCAGCATGGTAATAAGGGAGTGGATCAGATATTCATCTGAACTACATGATGAATCCCAATTATTCATTTAAAAAGCCCTTTTTCTATTTCTTTATTCATGCTACTTGAAGGCAAGAGCCATAGGCACCCCCGCGCACCCATATTAGCAAGCGCTTGTGGTTCACCTCTCAAAATAAGTAAAAACAACTGGCAATGGGGTCTCCGTACAGCACAGTCCAGACATTATGACAAAACTCAACATCATGGCTTTAAATGAAAGGCTTTGCAGATATAGTAGCAAGACATTATGGGAGTAAATACACATCAACATGTGAACAAATTACTCCGTATAAAAATATTCCGTTAACAAATAAATTCCTCCAGATATTTAGTACAAGACAACTACAACCACGCTTTCGTAGTTGCGTTTTGACTGTTAATTTCTTTCTCATACAATGAATCATGCTACCAAAAATAGACTTATACAATTATTATAAGGTACTTTCATAGCTTTGTCATCCAATATATCTTAAGTAATACAAAAAACTAAAATTCAAGCTTGAAGAATATGGGAACCTTATAATATATGTGAGAAAAGTATATATTGTTCATCACTCCCATACTATGTTGCCATAATATAAACCAACATGTTTTATTATGAGCTTGAATTTGACTAGTCCTAGTGTAATACCAAATTCTATGTAAATTAAATGGTGCAAGAAAGCTCCTTAAGTAATTTTATTTGATCTATTACATTAGATATAACTACTGTAATATTTACTGAACTACTGCAGCATTTATGTTTTACACTGTCATAGGGAGAGAAGAGGAAGAGGTATGAAACTGGCAACCGAGTAGAAGTAAACTTACACAAAACCTCTTTCCACTTCGAGACTTCTGATCCCATCCATCAACCTGGAACCATGTAATACCAGATAATGTCACCAGATCCGCTAACAATGTTTACCATAAATCACCACAATACATAGTTTCAGGAAGTATAAGACATTTCCTTTTGTTTTTACCTGTTTTTGTCCCCTTTTTTTATTATTTTGTAGGGATGGCCATTTCAAATTTCAAAAGCTAAAGAGCTATGTCTCAGACAATGAAAAGTATAGGTGTATGATGTACGGGAAAATTTAAGAGTTAGATCAACGGGGAAATACGAAATTCATTCAATGTTGCTTTTATCTAACAAAACTGGACTAAAATCAAATTGTTTAGCAAAACAATGTATTAACTGCTCCTGAAGCACTTCTTCAGCAGGAAGTTCAATATTTGTCTCTCTTTTTAAGGATGTAACTTCCTTATCTGAAATCCCACAGGGGACGATATGTTTGAAATAGTTCATATCAGGATCAATGTTGAATGCCAAACCATGAGATGTAATACCAGATTGTATACGAACACCAATTGCACCAATCTTTCTATCTCCAACCCAAACCCCAGTTTCACCTTTATGTCCAGGGTGAGCTTTGACTCCATACATGGATGCAAGATCAATCATCGTTTGCTCAAGTTTTTCCACATAACTACGAGCACCAACTCCAATATCACGAAGAGATATGATAGGATACAATATGGCTTGATGTGGACCATGAAATGTTATGTCCCCTCCCCTTTGAGTGTAATGTAGCTCAGCTCCCATATGTACCAACTCAGGCTCGGGAACTAGCAAATTGTGATCTGTTCTACGCTTTCCGAGTGTATATGTAGGAGGATGTTGCAATGAAAGAAGAGTACATGCTATCTTTTGAGCTTTTCTATCAGAAACCAACTTCTCCTGCAGCTTAAGTGCATTCAAGTAGTTAACAGTGCCCAGCTTCCACACTTCAAGACACCGGCGAACTCCCATTCCCTGTGTAACAAAGACAATTCCCTGTCAAATTCCACCTTAATCGGTTAGAATTTCCGATACCAAAGGTATAATACCGGAAATCATTCCAGTATAAATCGGTTAGAATTCCCGATACCAAAGATATACTACCGGAAAATCTATGCAATACCTATGAAACACTACTGGTTGAAATTTTCAATTTCCAATACAAACTACTGCAAGAAACCTATGATAGTGCTCATCAAAGTGAAATTTTGAATTAACATTCAACAATTAAGCAACAAAAAAGTCTAAATTTAATGAAATCCTACACAAATAGCTTACCTTAACAGTGGAGAGTATTTGGTTAGAAATGAAGTAGAGAATTTTGTTCCCAAAATATAAATTGATCATGGATTTTCTATCATCCCAACTATTAATACAAGATCGAACAAAGTTCTTTGTCATCTGATAAACAACAAATTAACGCAAATTGTAAGAACCCTAAGATTCAATAACCCAGAAACTTAGGACATTTACTTAATAAATTATGGTTTTTTGTTCATAAATCAAACTAAATTCCATTTGATTTCTTCCATGAGCAAAAAATCAAACCTCAAAATCTGACAAAACAAAGTTGAGTTGAAATGAAAATTTCAATCTTGAATTCAAAAGAAATTAATACACACATTGATTACCTAAAAGAGAGAAACTCTGGAATTCAATAATCTGGAACTTCTTGCATCCAATAAACCAAACTATTGACTTCAAATCTTCAAATTGGAGGAATGCAAATTATTGAAATTAAGAATGCAAATAATTAATAATGGTGAAAGAAATATTGATGATCACAGAGAAACCAACACGAAGAGAGTGGAATTGGTAACAAGGATGGTGGATGAATGGTCGATTGTTGGCTTTGTTGCCTTATTATCTAGTCGGGTCGGGTCGGCTCAAGTTTGGCTACATTCGTGTTGTGTCATATCGGGTTCAGATTTCTCTCAATAGTTTCAGGCTGGATCATGTCGTGGTATACAAGAATTGTCAAATTTGTCCGACTCTTATTAAAACGGAAAAGGTTGACCCGTCTTCCTGAATCTGAATACTGTAAATTAATTAAGGGTCTATTCTCTTACGTTGAAATTCAGTTCAGCTCCTAATTTCCTTCTCTTAGTTATAAAATATTCAGTTCAGTTCAGTTCAATTCAGTTCAGCTCAGCTCGATTCAGTTCAGTTGAGTTCAGCCAATGAGAACAGGCCCTAAGTATTAGTTGTATACCTTATTTAAATTTTCAGATTTGCATATCAAAGAAGAAAAAAAGAACGCAATTAAGATAAAGTTGAAAAGTGTATAAAATGATTTTAATGTCTTAACACTAACTTGTGTTATTGTGTCAAATAAGAATTATAATTTCTCGAATAATTGGTTTTGTATGGACCCGGTCTACAAAAAATTGTTGTAGACCCAAAATTTGACACTTTTAAATAATATAATCACATTGTGGATAATATAATCACTTTTTTTAGACGATATAATTATCTTTTTGTGAGTCATATTTTGAATTATATAATCTCATATTAAACCATTTAATGAGATTATATAATTATCTTTAGGATGATAAAATTTAAAAATCATCTTTTGAATGATGTAATTTACTATTTGATACTTTTTATAATGATAAATTCACTTTTTGAGTGATACATTTACATAACAGTTTTAGGATGATATAATCACTTTTTTTAGTAATATAATCACATTTCGTAATATATAATCACATTCGTATGGTATACTAGAAGGTTGGGTTTACAATATGTTATTGTAGACCGGGTCTATTCTAGTCTTTACCTTTCTCGAATATGATTAACACCGATAGACAATGTGCCCTAATTCAAGCACACATGTTACATGTGATGAACTTTTGACATCTTTTACACAACCACATAGCAATAAAGTAACCATAAAACCTTCATTAGATACTTTTATCCGAAATCGATTTGTCGTGACTTGTGACATAACAAATCCTCATATTGTAAGGTTAGATAACAAAATTTATAATTGATGAATTAAAAAATTTAGGTATTGGCACATTGGAAATTCTAGTCATAAACCAATACAAAATTTAGGAAAGGCCACAATTTCTCATCAACCAAAAAAACGCAGTGTACATGGAGGAGAGTATCCGCAAAAGTTAACAAAGGCAGAAAACTCAATTGGAATGTAATTGTAAACTATTGTAAGGCAATATTGTTGAGAATATTACAATGACTCACAACAACAAAGGTGTGCAATTTTTTCAACTGCAAATTATATTTCAGATTGTAAAAGAAAAGGAAAAAAGCTAAGCAATAATGTAAGACAGAAAAATTTATCTAATATATAGAGAAAATAAAGAACAAGACCACTATTTATGTACAGAAAGTAACCCTGCACTCTCCAGCATAAAATCTTCATTTCACAGTGACTTTCAGCCAATCAAGAAGAACAGGAGAGCATACAGACACCAGGTCGATAAGCCCAAGCTGGAGGTAAACGAGCATATTTCTCCATCCCGGGTTGCTCATCATACGGGCGTTCCATGACTTTTAGCAGCCGACGTATCTCTTCAAAATCCCCTTGCTCTGCTGCATCAATGGCACTTTGGCATAAATAATTCCGCAGGATATACTTTGGATTGACAGAATCCATAGCAAACTTCCTCTCCTCGTCAGGAATTCCACTAGAAACCAGCTGAGGGAGACAGAGAACATTTAATCAATACATAAATCCACTATGTCATAAGTAGGGACTAGACATACGTACTGTATACAAAGATAATATCATAAAACCTTAGACTTGGTTGCTAGTTACACAGCAAGGAAATAGAATTATAATTCCTGCTCCTCAAAATAAGGATCAAAAAGTAGCAGCAGCATAACAGTATCCTATCTTAGCAAGTCAGGGGTAGCAGTGATGTAGGAGGATACAAAGTGTCCATCCTGAGACTGAGCTCAGGATGTGGGGGCAATAGTATAGCGCAATTACCACTTGGGCCATCCGCAGTTGTCACACCCAGATTATGTACAATTTTTTATATTTAGAAATAATACAACGTTCCCGACATCAGAAATGCAGATTTACACTGAAAAAGGAAACCATGCCAGGACTGGAATGTAGAAGCCAGTGGTATCACCACTTCAACCGATCATGCTTGCCTCCCTCCCCACTCTCACACCCCACAAATCACCCAAAAAATGATCAATAACATGATTTAGATCTATGAGTATGACAAAAGAGATTCAGGAAATAAAGGAACAAGATAGAAATTGCAATAGTGTGAAGTCATACCTCCTGCGTATAGCATTTCATCCAGCTGGTCCATGCCTCCCTGCGTTCCTGACCAATATCTAGCAGAACAGCCTTCAAGGGGGTCAATATTTGGGTGTCTGGAATGCTAGGGTCAGCTTTTACATTGGAAAGTAGCCGAAAGAAGTTTGTGTAATCAACTTTATCAACAGCCATGTTGTTGAGAAGTTTGCTGATCAGTTCTTTGCTGTACTTGGACAGTCCAAGTTTTTTTATCATAATAGCTTGATAGTAATCCATGAACTTAGTTCCATATCTGCAGAAAATTATTTATACCCAATATTTCTCAGTTAGTTTAGCCACCACCATAGCAGTGTTCAAAGTATAATTGCAAAACAAAAAGTACCTTTCCATGACGTAATTAGCCTCATTGTCCTGAAGCAAATTAGCTGCTTGTAAGGTAGCAGCAAACTGTGCGATGTTCCACAAGCCTATATCAGGCTGATTTGCAAAGCAGTATCTTCTACCAGGAAGATCAGTTGTGTTTGGTGTATAACTTGGATCAAAAGCATCTAAGAAACCGAAGGGGCCATAATCAATTGTAAGACCCAAGATGCTCATATTGTCGGTGTTCAGCACACCATGTGTGAAACCGACCCCCTGCCAGCCAGCAACCAATGAAGCAGTACGTTCAGCAACTTCAACTGCCCAAGCTGATGCATTCATAGAAAAAGGAACAAGCAAAAAAAATCAGTTTCTTTCTTTAAAACATCAGCAATTTTTATTTTTTTTTTGGCCTGTATAAGGATTTTGCATGGTTGAATTTCATAAAGATTCAATTATCTAAATTAGTAGATCCCAAATAGTAGGAAAAAATATGGCAGCATCAAGCATGAGATTCACAGAGTAATGGTAAAATTGATGTATGAATAAAGCTTCTCAATAAGTCACTTAAACAAAATTCTATGGTAAAGGGAAAAAACAGTATCATTTATCCTTTTCAGGTTATTCTAGAGTCATTAGACATAAGATAATTCAATGAAATTCTTGCATATTCGTCAAACAGGAGGATCACTACAGAAAAATAACAATAAAACCATAATTTAACAAGACATTGCACATATAACAATGTGTAAGCTATCATGAGTTCATGACTCATATTAGTCTGTCATGAGTCAATCATAAAAAATATAAATTAATAAATAATTAATCAAAAATTAATTTTAAAAAAAAAAAAAAAAAAAACATGGAACAACATGCACAAGAGGCAACACACCATAGCCCGTATGAGCAGTAGTTTGAAAAGGCCTGGCCAAGAAAGCTATGTATTAACCTAGCCTGGCTAACAAAGGCATGCTTTTCATTAACTAAAACAAAGATGCACCAGAACAAATTCCAACCTGCATATTTATTTGAGCTGAGATCCACAACAGACTGGTCATCAAAGCCTGTGTTAAAAGATAAACTTTCACTCTTATTCATATTCTCGATATGGGGGAAGTGATGCTTGATGGCATAATCCGCAAGACGCCGAACGATATCAAGATCTTCTTTCCCTCTAGCGGCATGTAACTGGTATGAACCGAAACGCAAAAAGGAAGGAGCAACTCTACAAACAATTGCTCCAGGTTCTTCCTTTGGATTGCCACTGCATACAGCAGAAATTGATCATAATCAGACAATGAATTAATAGTCATTCAGAATCAGGCCTACCAGCCATTCATCTAGCCATCTCCTAGCCCATAATGCAAATTCAAAGAACATGGGCAAGAAAGAAATAAGGAGTGATAGAAACCATAAAAACTATCAAAATTAAAGCTTCATGAGCTGCTTGAAGAGCACAAGTTAGAGAGAGCTTGACAAGGAAAACTTTCAATAAGAAACAGAATACTCTGGCTGATACACTAATGAAAAACTGAAATAAAACCCGCATTGGTATCAAAATGGATGTCATTACTATAGTTGGCGGGCACATACTCATAAAACATATCTCGGACGACAAATTTCCCAGTGGTTACAAGACAAAGGGCACGTGTTGTGGGGATTCCAAGGCTATGCATTGCTTCACTGCACAGGAATTCCCGAACACTACTACGAAGAACGGCCAGCCCGTCTGCAAAGCGGCTATATGGGGTCTTGCCCGTGCCTTTCAGTTGCAATTCCCACCTTTCTTTCTTTGAATTCACAAGCTCGCCCAATGTAATTGCCCGACCATCACCCAATTGACCAGCCCACGTGCCAAACTGATGGCCACCATAACATTGAGCATATGGCAATCTGTAAGAGATATTTCATCAGGGAGATTGCAAACAGCCCGAGATATAAGAGTTTCAACCGTAAAGGATATCCACAAGAAATTAAAACTCAAAAACTTAAGCAGTTGACTTACGATCCAAAAAATGGGGATGCCCCAGAAAATATTAGCGGAAAATCAGGACGCTCAAACCTGATCAACACAACAAGAGATCATAAAATAAGCATGAGAAATAAGTACTTTTAGCAACAGTTAAAATAGCAAGAAAATAAAAAATCTTTCGTAACTCGAGTCAATTGGTCAGGTCAAATGAAGAATTAGTATATAAAGAGTCCATCCCCACAGAATGGGTAGGTGCATTTAAACAGATATGATATCAAGGCCAATTACCATATATATGCACTATGTTTACTTCATATAGTAGGGTAAATAAACACTCACTCTTTAGGATCTAGCTCAAGAGATTCGGCAACTGATTCAGACCATGCAACAAGTTGTGGATTATCGACCTCTACAGAGGGTGAAACTTTTGTATAGCAAGCATGAAAGACCTAACAGGAAACAATGTGAGCCGTAAGACACATACACAACAACAACAACAACAATATTAAGATCAATGCATAATTTAAGTTTACTTAAAGTCAGAAAATATATATGAAAGCTTAACAGGCCACATTACAAATGTTGCTTGTTCATTGTTGTCAAGAACACGATAGACTGTTTCCACCTATTATGTTTCCACCTTAAGTATAATATCCAGTTCTAGAGAACCATGTAATATCCATAAAAATGTGTTGTCACGGTTTATCTTTCTACATAAAATCCACAAAAATTTGAGCATAAAAAGTAAGAGAGCAAAGATTGAGTCTTCCTTCATGGTAATACAACATTAGCTAGTTTACCACTTTCCAAGCTCCTTTTACAATAATATCCCATTTACTGAGCTCATCTCTAACATTACTTCATGTCCCTAGGGATGGTTGCAATACATACTATATCACTACACATACAAAGTAGTATTCAGGAACACTAACTAGTCCTTCAATTAGTTCAATAGCAAAGAGCGTCAACGCTAAAAGCAACTTATCTACCCTATATATCCATCCTCCAAGGATACCCCCACCACAAAATGATTTGCTGCAATCATTGAATAACGACAAAAAAACACGAGGTCAGAAACAAGATCGGCGAGTGATCAACTTAATTGCAAACTCTAAAGTTTGAAGGTAAATCAAGTGAGATATTAAGGACGGTTCAAGAAGTGATTTGATCACAGCATGATCATATTGATCACAATATTAATTTTTTATTTTATTTTTTTGAAGGAACTTGCCCACACTTAAAATGTACAAAGCACCTACAACTTCCCGCGGATGTGCTCCACACTTGTTCTCAATTCCCAAATTCCCGCAATCTAAATTGCACCTCTTTAAGTTGCAAATGCTCAAGTAAACCCAATTAATTCCAAAATCTAAACCCATTACTACCTTTGTGGCAGGTTTTGATACACTCAAACCCGAATGCCGCAAAGGTTGTATTGTAAATGGGATTTGATCACAAGTCTTGGTTATCGACCCACAATTATACCAACTAAGCTAGCTCACATCCACAACTTACGTTCGCAATTATCTATTAATCTCATTTTCTACAAAACTTCATTCGATTCCTTCAACACACTGCATTCAACAAATTCACCATCAAACCAAATCAAATACACTTAAAATTTGTCCAAAATAAGCCAACCCCACATCATCAAGGAACTTCAAATGCCCAAATATTTCAATTAAACAAGCAACATAATTATAAAAACAAAAATAAAACAATCCCTTGAAAAATGAAACTAGATTAGAGAAAACAAAACCTGACGAGGGATATTATCAACCCTAGAATCAGCAGGCAATTCACGAACAAAAGAATGATCCCAATTAAGCTCTTCAAGCTTCAATTTGGTACGATTACTATCATGGGTGAGCTTCTGATTCTTCAAATCTTGAGTAACCTGTTCAATGGAAGAACTCTGTTGAGAATCCATGACTGAAAAGGTTTTGATGGGGTTGCTGGGATGGCGGCGGAGAGGGCGGAGGAGGGAGCGGCGAAGAGGGGCGAGAGAGGAGAGAGAAAGGGCGGAAGAAGAGGCAGAGGAGAGAGAAGAAGAGTGAAGAAGAGAGAAATGGGAAAGCAGCATTTCATATGAATCAGTGATTACTACCCACCCCCTTAAACGTCGCACAAAGATGAGAGTTTTGGGAAAAAAGGGTGTTTGTTTTTCGGTTATGATGATGATTCATGAGTCATGGGGAAGGTGCAAATTTTGGGAAATGTTGTGGAGGTGTGTTTGTGTGATCAATGGTTGATTTACTTGAATGGTTAGGGTGTGTCGAATTTAGGGCATACTCGGATTGAAATTTTTACGAGTTGGAGAGGTCGAATAATTAGTGTGATCAACAATCTAAAGTGGTGAATTATTTCGTATTTGAATTCGGAGCTAAATTGAAATGGAATAGATTGAATTCGTATTTAAATTCTGAGCTAAACTGGACTGAAACAGATTGAATTTGGATAGTCTGATTAGACTGTTTATGCACCTCTTTGCTGAGCTAAAACCAAACATCCAATAATCCAATCTGCATATATATGACATTGCTTTAGGATCAAATACGCCCATAATATACTTCTATTCATTTAGTTTACATATGCTATAAGTGTAATAATTGATCATATAATTTAAAACTTTTATTATTTGTTGATGCAAGCATTGAAAAACTATGCAAATTGTCACTTCTATTATTATCATTGATAACCATATATGCTTAACTGTGATTTAATGCAACACAAACCAATGGCCATAAGGTAGTTAAAATGACTATGTTTCCGAAATGAAAACGTAGGTAGTAAAAATGACTACGTTTAAAGAGTACAACGAAACTCTTATTTTTTGATTTTCCCCTAAAGTCCCTTCTGAAAAGTGCAAACATATCCTTCACCACTAGCCACCACTTGATGTCGCCCCCAATAACCACCTCCCCTAACCATGGCTACAAACTGCCCCCCTCCCCCGATGTATGTTCCAACCACGCAACCATTGCCATTCATAAGTTCATAACTTGGCCCTAAAAAGGCTTCAAACAATATTCAATGTCTTAATTGATGTATGTATGAGCTATTCTATGACGTTATTGCGTCATTGATATCATCTTCCACACCACCATGTATTTTGGAAAGGTTGTATATGTGAATATTAGTGGTAAACTGGTAAATTGAATTTACAAAGAAAAATTCAAATTATCATAAAACTATACAAGTTGATGTCTTGCAACCTCATGCTTGATTGCATACGCTCATGACAATTCCAAATGAGTGGAAGGGCAACTTCTGGTATTACGACTTAAGAAGAAATGATATAGTCATGGTGAAAGTGGAGAACACTTCCTCTTACCTAAAACCTATCTCAACTCAAAATCATATCAATCATACTATCACAATACTAGAAAATTTTTAATCTACCTAAAACTTGATATTAGGTACCAAGTACAACCCTTTGTAAAGAAAAAATCCAATCCATGATATTTATTGCATAGATTTTGTTGTTGAATTATTTGATAAAGATTGAGTGAAAGAAGAAAATCTGAAAAATTCACAACATCTTTATTGATTCTGCAGGTCAGCAGATTGCATACAATCACGAAAATGTGAATACATTTTATTTTTTATTTTAAGAGCCAATATCCACTCAAAACCATATCTATCGTACTCCGTAATATCATAAGCCCAAACTTTTATTCTCTTCAACATGATAAGATTATATTGTACACCAACTATATCTTTATCCTTTGAAAACCTAACCTTATACTACCATATATATATACACCCCAAATGAATAGGATTTCATCAAATCAAAAAAGTTAAAAGAGGGGAAACAACAAAAAAAAAAAAAAAAAAAAAATGTTGCTCTCATAAAATTTTCATTAGGAAGTTTTCGTTAACACATCTAAATTACTCGTAGTTTTTGGGTTTTGTTTCTCTACACCCAAAAAACTAGAGAAAAACATCAAAGCGGAACCCAAAATTTTTATCAACTAAAAAGAAATGAAAAAAATAGAGTTAACTAAAAATGTTTCAAGTCCGCGTTTCTTCTCAACCCTTCAACACCACCGCATTCTTTCTCTTTCTCTCTCCTCATTCAACCCTAATTCGCATCAATTTCTTTCCCCAATTCCATTTTCCCCTCTTTTTTCACCAGATCTTCATCCCCCAAATCCCCAATTTTCATGTTTTTTCACTTTTAGATCGGTTTCCGATCTTTTCCCCCTTTTTTCTGACTTGATCTGGGGGCTGTCATTTTGTGGGGTGTTTCTGCTGTTCGACTGAAAAATTCGGATTGATTTGAAGGAGTGATTATGGATTACGGTCTCTCCGACAGCAGTGGTGAGATACTCAAAGTTCTGATCTTTTCTTTGTTGTGTGAATTTTAGCGACTTTTTTTTTTTCAAGATTTGATTTTGTTGAATTGTGTTAGGGTTTTCTTTGAAATGTTCCTGAACTATTGATTGGTTGATTGAACTGTTACATCAACATTTTCTGGGAATTTTGGTTTAGTTTTGTGAATCGAATTAGGGTTTAATTTCGTTAGATTACTATTAAAATCATTGAATAGGTTGGGGTTTAGCTTGCAATTTGCAATCTTTAATGATAATTTTGCTACTGTGAATGAATTTTCAAGTCTTTTGGATTACTAAGAACCAGGAGACTGTTTGAGAGCTTAGAAATGGCAAAATTATGATTATTTTCCAAGTTCAGGATCTTTATGATGAATTGAAGTACTTTTTTTCGGTACATTGTAAGTTTTAGTAATTCTAAGCAGTGTCAAAAAGCTGGATCAATGGTGTTATCACATTAAAATGAATTTGGTTTGATCAAGATTTTTTTTTTAATTTTTTTTTGTGAAAGTTATCATTAGGTTGATTTATTTAATTACATGTTTAATCCTGTACTGTATGGTACCTATAATTCCCAGGATTCCAGGAGCTATCTGTGTTGGGATTGGGGAATGGGGAATTCACCCTTTTCACACCATTAATCTCTTTTGTAGATTCTCTATGATAGGTTATGTTACTCTTCCTTGGTTACTAGTGTGACAGTGTCCAGCACGAGTTATGCGCATGTCCAATTGACTTGTCCAATTATTAAAATTTGGCAGTTTGTTGGCCAAATTAAAGTTTCAAGAGTATGATAAAGTGAACTGGCCGAGTAACGTTTATTATGAATATTGGGGTGGGTAGCTAACTTTTGTTTTTCCTTTTTATCTGGACGTTAGCGTTACTGGTGCTAGCATTGGTCATCTCAGTGTATTTTCTGGTGATTTCCAGTCATGTTATTGGATTGCTTATGTCAATGGAAATGCCTATTTAGAAGTTGGCATGTATCATCTTCTCATTTGGCCGCTCACTTGGTTTTTTCTTCTTTTTTTCTGTGTTAGTTCTCAGCAATTAATCAAAAGTGAGCGTCAAACCTTGCCATTATTAATTATGTGGGCTTGAATCACATCTGTTAAATTGTTATACTTGGATCTGTAATCAACATGCATGATTTTTTAATTCTGTAATATTTCTTATATTCATTGTAGTTGTTTCAATTTGTTGCAGAGCATCTAAACATTTAATTAATACTTATGGGGGAAGGTAAGATGATATGATGCCTTAAATGAAATGTTTCTTGTGAATAATTTTTAGTTTATTAGTTGGGATTCAGATTCTCTTTATAAGAGAACTTAATATGCTTTTGTTCTAGGTGCTAAATGAAACAAAGTAGAAATTTCAATTCATTCAACCATTTGTTAACGCCTATATTTAATGTGAAAATTTTAAATATACTGTATGGGCTGTTGGTGATTATTGTGTGGGATGCTGACGATTTCTATAGCTTCTCTCCTTTCATGTTTACTTTGATAATTACTATTTTCTCCATGTCATAATAACCTGATCTCCACATATTAAGAATTTGGTTTGGTATAGTTATAAGGGATTTATATAGTGAAGTGGCATGGATTGATGGTTTAAAATAACCTATATATCCTTACATTGGCATAATTAGATAATATCTAATGTTGCATTGTACTGTAGAGTGGTTTACTTTTTGAAACAAAAATAGTTATGTCTTGGAATGGTGTAGTATGAGTCACTCTACTTTACGTTTGGAGATAACCTATGTATGTTTTGGATTTCCTCGTTACTTTTTATTGCCGTTTGATTTCATAGCTGCCATGATTATCATCCCCAGTCACACCGAGTTTATTATTTGCTGCATTCTATTTGTCTTCATTGTCAATGTTCTTATTTCGGCATAATCACTGAGAGTCTGAGAGGGGTCCTTTTTAAACAGATTTTGATATATGCTCTGCGCTACATCAAGATTTTAACTTTTTTTTATGTCTTTGCTGTTGAAATATCAACTTTTCAGATTTCCATTTTAGGGATGTTTTCTGCAGTTTTGTTATCTTGTTTGTCCATTGTGGTTTGTTTATAATGTTGAATTAATCTTGTTTCTTTTTGGAAATTTGGTAGGGACGGATGATGATCTTCCACCACCTCATCAAAATAGATTTGCAAGAAATGCACGTGTAGCTGGGAATGGGAGGTCTGCAGTTGCTGCCCCTGCTCCATATCCAAGGATGCCAAATAATGACATGGAAACACAAATCCATATTATTGAACAAGATGCGTATTGCTCAGTTTTGCGGGCCTTCAAGGCTCAATCCGATGCCATTTCTTGGGTACTTTGCTGTTGCTGATTTATAATTATGTTCAGAATCATTATATTCATTTGTCTAAACACATTGTGCTGTTTATTAGGAGAAGGAAAGTTTGATAACGGAATTAAGGAAGGAGCTGAGGGTGTCAGATGAGGAACATAGGGAGCTTTTATCAAGGGTGAACAATGATGATATGATCCGTAGAATAAGGTTTGACGTTATTTTTATTATCAGTCATACGTGTTTTCAATATATTTGTTATAATTGATGATGATGATGATGATGTTGTCTATTGACAAATACCATTTATATTAACTTTGGCAGGGAGTGGAGAACGGCAAATGGGCAACCAGGCATGCTTAGCTCTTCGCAACCTGTTCACGAATCTGTACCTAGTCCAACTGTTTCAGCCTCACGTAAGAAACAGAAAACAGGACAGTCAGTGTCGGGATTATCTGTTGGTGCACCATCTCCTACCTTGCATCCTAATATGCAACCATCTTCTTCAAATTTGAAACGAGGCCCACCTCCAGGATCACGACCCAAAAAGACAAAACCAGTAAGTTTCTGGAATCACAAATTTTGATAGCTAGACAATTTATCACGTGCTACTATATCTGCTAGGTCTGCAAAATTTATCACGTGCTACTATATCTGCTAGGTTTGCAATGTGGTGTTTTGTGGTTGCTAAATGCTGACAGGTTGAAAAGTAGAGGTGTTTTTGCTGTAATTGTAAATTCTGTTAGTTATAACAGGATAACTTATCATTTGATTGTTGCTATATTGGTTTGTTATTTCTTACTAGTTTCTAGGCATACTTATTGTGTTTGCACCTTTTTTTTATTTTTTTATTTTATATATATATTTTAAAAAATTTAAGTAGATTTGCACTGCAATACTCAGAAACTTCCTCTTGTACTACATTTAGTTGCTTGTTTGACTTATCACTCTGTGTTTTACGGTGTTAATTTCCATTACTCATGGAAGCTTGCTGTTCTGCAGACTTTGCCATACCCTTCTCCTGCACCTCCAGGAAGGCCTCAGGTAGCCAATCGTAGTACATCAGGCAATTTTGCTGCTAATGACCCTTCTGATACTGAGAATTATGGAAAGATTGGGAAAAGAGTATGGACAAGATGGCCGGAAGATAACAATTTCTACGAGGCAATTATAACAGACTTTAAAGAGGTACGGTTATCTTATTCCCCCCCCCCCCTCTCCTCCCCTACACAGACAAAAGTATGGAGGAAAAGATAAGCATGTCGCATATAATGATTCTTGAAGACTCACATCCTTCCAAATTTATTTAGGGCCGGCATGCTTTGGTTTATGATATGAATACACCAAACGAAGCATGGGAATGGGTCAATCTGAAGGAGGTAATCACACACTCCTCTTTCTGAAGAATATTAATCTAGGTTTTTTAATTGGTGGGTGGATCATGCTTTCTATATCTATGAGTTTAATAGTTTATGCTAGTCATAAATAACAAGAGAAACATGTGCTTAATTACATTAGTATGATGGTTGCTATTGTTGTATTTTAAAGCGGGTTTGTTCATTTGTGGTGCTGACGTACTCTGATGAGTTGGACACGTCTATTGTCCTTGGAATCAATCTTAAGAGTTACATTTTTGTTGCTACTACTATATCTCTGTATCTTTTGCTATTCATGCATCATACTCCCCCCCCCCCCCCCTCTTTTGTTTTCTTTCCTTTTTTTTTTGGTACCCACTACATTAGACTTCTTTTTAGGTGAGTGTATGGTGTAAGAAAAAAAAATGAAGGATACAGTAAGAGAGATAGGAGTAAAGAGGTGGGTGGTGTAAAAATAAGGGAGTGAGGGGAAAAGTTTAATTTATTGGGTTAAGATGGTAAATAATGTTTGCTGAGAATAGAATAAAGTAGAACTATAGAATTGGGTAGAATTAAAATAATAAATGATTAAAGACCAAGGTAGTGTTAACTTCTTTCTTTTTTAGATGCCTATATTGGTGACAGACATCCATTGAACTGTAGTGTTTATAGCAGTCAAAATATAGTATCTATCCCGTTAATTATTTGCTTATTTTCCAAAATAAAAATAATGCTTCTATGAGAGTGACAAGATTTTCCTTTTGTAGGGATTCTTAGTTAGAAATAGATTTGATTCTGTTTGATTGTCTCTATAATAATGCTACTGTCATTTGTTTCTTGTCAGTCTCTTGTAGCATGGGTTTTTAAATAACTATAAGCCAATTTGTTGCAATTAATATCAAAAGGAGAAAACTGTGCTTGGACATTTTAAACTGGGATTTTTTGGATAGCAGGATTAGCATCACGCCATCACATAATTTAGAGCTGGAGGTTGGGAGAGATGGATCTCTTTTTTTTTAGTTGGAGTTGCAGTTTGGTCATAATATTGTTCAATGCAGTTTACGATGGATAAATAATCTGATTGATTTGATCAGCTTTTTTTTTATGGTGGTTAATTTTTTTAGTTACTAAAATAATTAAACGGATCCAGCTTCTAAATCTTAAAAGATGGTAAAGATAGCCCATCTCCATGCAATGCAGAACATATATGTCTCTGCTTGGTTTATGCGAAGTATTTTTTAGTAACCAGTTGAGTTGGCTTCTGAGCATTGGATTTGTATTGTGCTCTGATATTTCTGTCTGCAGTCCTTGATAAAAGAAGTTAGACATATATTGTAGCCCATCTCTTGTGACCAATTCAAAATATAGTGACTTTGTTTTACAACTTATGTGATTTAATATGTATCAGATATCCGATGAAGACATCAAGTGGGAGGGTGAGGGTTCTGGAATATCCCATAGAGGAGGCCGAACTGGTCAAGGTCGTGGTTTTAAGAAGTCTTCGGCCCGTGGTGGAGCTGTTGCTGGTGCAGGGAGAGGTCGTGGGACCTTAAAGGGCCAGCCCAAGAAGGATTTGCTTATGCCCCAGAATGGTATTGGAAGAAAAGGATTGGGAGATATTGAATTACTTCATACTGATACTCTTATTAAAGAGGTAAGTGAGTTTGCTGAGAGAGGGGGGAGGGGTCTGTAAGTTTCTAATTTTGTCTTCAGATTGATGGTGTGTTTGATGGAATGATAATCTCTTTGCAGGTGGAGAAAGTTTTTAGTGCTAATCATCCAGACCCAATGGAGGTTGAGAAAGCCAAGAAAGTGTTAAAGGTGATGACTACCCCGCTACCTTTAGTTTTTGTCTGTACATTTGTCTTGACATGGGAGTTTGAATGAATCGTTGTGTTGCAGGAGCATGAACAAGCATTGGTAGAAGCTATTGCTAGGCTTCAGGATGCATCTGATGGTGAAAGTGGTAATGCTTAATTGTCTTCTGTTTGTTGTACAAATTAAAAAGCGCCTGTGCCTTTTTTTTTTTTACCTTTCCATCTTCCCTCTTTAATTTAGTTTTGGTAGATCAACTGATGTAAGTTACTTGTACAGAATTCTCTAATCAAGCCTCTGGCTGAAAATGTTCCATATTGGCCACCTTTCATCATTTCTGTTCCTATTTTTGAGATGTTCATCCTGTGTATATCCAGTTATTCAATTTTTTTGTATCTTAACGCCACTGGCCAATTGTATTACCTGTTCACTTCTGCTAAATGCCTTTTTTTTTGGATAAAGTTGTATGTCTATTCAGTGAGAAGTGGATTGGTAGCATAATGTTTGTTATAATTTATTTCAACCAGATGGGGGAGATCATCCCTTCTCACAAGGACAGTCCATGGATCGAGAGCAAGGATGGAGGAAACGACAATATGATGAAATGGGAGAAGGTAGGGGAATGGAAGGTCCGGATGGTGATAAAGGCAGAGTTGCCTCAGAAAAGAAGCAAGAAGTTTAGTCTGTGTATCTGAATGTTGGCATTTTGCCAGATTGTACCATTGTCAATTTAGAATTATAGGTGATCATTAGGGGGCAGTAGGTAGTGGGAGGTGTAGATTTTTGTATTAGTACTCAGTTCTGTATTTTAACCAAAAACATTAGAAGTTGGTTCATGTAAATCTGTCAGATTCGTAAATTTATGTAGAATTGTTTTAGTAATGCACATTATTGCCTTGACTAACTCCAGTAACTGCAATCATTTCAAAGAATATTACAAAAATAAATAGAGACCATATGTTGTAACATGTAACAATGTTGCCACGTTAGTATGCAATACTCATTATCTGCACATATTACCACCTCCATTTTCCGAATTTTAGATTTTGCTGCTACTAGTGCATCGGAAAATCTATCAGATTGCTTGTTGATATAGGCACACAGAAGGAGTTTTACCCACCCGTCACCTATAGAGATTCTGCAAACTTTGCAATCAACTCAACCATTTGAGAATCAAAATCAGGACCTTCCATTTGAAAATGGCTAGCACCTTCAATTAGATGTGTCTCAACACGGCCTGCAGCTGAGCTTAGCTTATTCTGCAACTGCTTGACACTTGTAAAGCCATCCCGTGTTCCCATAACGAAAAGCTTTGGTTTTGGCGACTGCAAGATAGCCTTATGGTGCCTTCCAAAGAGGATTGATGCCATCATACCAAATGGATATCCTATGCTCACATAACCTACCACTTGCTCAACCTGATCAACAGCCGAACCAGCAATTGGTGCACCTGATCCAAGAGACGGAACATGTTAAGGAAGCTAATTATCGGTGTTTGATAAATTAAAATCCGTAAACAGATACAATTTCATTCAAAATTTTAGCAGGTACCCCGTAATCATATTTAAAGACCATCCTGTAAAAATGATTATCTTGGTTAATCTGCGGTCACAAAGTGACATACTGACATTGAAATTATCCTTTTAAACTTTATTCAATTGTTGCACACAGATATCAACATGTATGTAATGATTCAGATGAGCATGCAAAAGCAATTTAACAAATAAGAAAAAGAAAACCAATGAGGCTGCTGAATGGCAAATAGAAAGCATATACAGGATAGAATGCCAAGCTTCCTATTCATAGAGGAAAAAAGTTCCTCAGCTATACGCCTATACATACAGCTTTTGTCTTTCATTTCAACCTTCTATAACTTTATACTACGTATATTTCCTCTTTGGTCCCGATTTCAGGAGATTGGGTTGTTTGAAAGGAAAGATTAGATGCAAGACAGGGAAAGATGAGAGCAAATCATCAAAATGTCACTTATTTACCAATGCAATCAGAACATATCTATATGAAGCTATTCTAGTTGAGATCATCAACATTAAAAAGATTGAGTTCCTACAGTCTGTCAAGAAATGGACCTAAAGCAGAGATATATTCTGTAATATTGCAGCTGCCATAACTATAAGACTTTAATGACATGAAATAATCAATTGAAACAAAATTCCGAGTTCGACGTAGTTCATAGTAATAAACATGAAACATATAACAAACAGCTTCCACAATGCTTCATATCACAATGAATCACACCAACTAGCTTCAGATTTCAATTCAGATCAAACTTAGATACAAGTAGAAAGCAGGAAACACTACAGGATCAATTTCCACACCTCAAAGTTAGCAATTCCTCTGCTTTTTCTCTTGAAAAGGACAACCAAGAATTCCTTTCAAATAGCATGATGATGAATCTAAAAGTCATATCCAAATTCCCCATAATTTTCCATAAAAGGTCAAATTCCCATGAATAGATCTGACTTAATTATCAAAACCAAAACAATTAAGACACATTTTCATGAACTTTTTATGATCAAATCACGCTCCAAACCAAAAACACACTAGTTCATCACCAAAAATCAAATTCAAAAATCGATCTTCCACAAAACTATAACATTAAAATCATCAATAACACAGTAATAATAACAATATTGAACAAGATTAATAGAAATTATACCTGCAGAAGAACCCACCAGCAAAATCCTATTAACAGACAGATTTTCACAAACCCATTTGCAAACAGAAATTACATCTTTAACCTCAGCAAACCCAGAAACAGATTTACTACCAGTTGACCTACCAACACCTCTCATATCAAAAGTAACAGCCAAATAACCAGCATTTGCTAACCCAGTTGCCATTCCTCTTAATAAACTTTGACAACCACCTAAAACTGAATATGGATGAACCAAAACAATGCCCAAATTTTCATCTTTATTATTTTCTGTGGGTTTAAATATTCTTGATTTTAGATTTACTCCATCACTTCCTTCAATAGTAACTGATTCACTAGACATTTTGGGAGAGAGAAAAATCCCTTCTTTTTTTTTTGGGAAAGGAAAAGTTTTCAAAGAAAAGGGATTGAGAAAATTAGGACTTTTGTTTGTTTGTTTGTTTGAGTGGAAGAATATAATCAAGGTGATTCAATTTAATTCTATAACTTTAAATTGGGTTTGGGTCATAAATAATGAAATAAATAAATGTATAAAATATGGTTGGACAGAGTTTTGGTGATGGGGAAGCCTAAAAAGGAAGAAGAGTGAAGACAATCTTGATTTTCTTTCATAGGGGATTAGGGGGTTGAGGAGTTTGTCTCTCAAATTGGCGAAAATTAAGGGTAAAATAATTGGTTAGATATGTCCTTTTCATTATTTTTCTTTTTCCCAACCATTTTCCCTTACTCTTCTATTATGTCCCCTTTCGATTTTTCCTTAGTTATCGGATTTCTTTATCTGTTCTGTAAAATAGATACAAGTAGTTGTTTGGTTAGATGGTCTAATACAAACTTCTATTAATGAGTAAATGACAACTAATTAGAGGTGTGCATTATACTTTTATACACATTAGTGTTATATACATGGTGGTCGTAATCATTGATTCTTTATTAGATTTCTTTTATAATTGAACAAATTAAAGTGCATCCAAGTGTATGAAGATATTTGTCAATAATAAGGGTCCTGTATGATTGAATTTTCTACCAGATGTCAAGTTTCCACCTGTTTCCGCCAAGTCACAATTCAAGATCATATATGTTCATTGATTTAAAGACAGTTTACTAATAACTTTAATTTAAATTGAGGTTTGCAACTGAATTCTTTTGGATTTCTTTGTAGAGTATCATGAGATACAAAGTAGACCAAACATAATGGTTTGTACACAAATAAACAAAGATATTGAGAAAACTCAAATTGTTATTAGCCAACCATCACTTCAAATTAGAGGTAGTAGATGGGATAGCCTATCTTAGAAATGTTTTAATATAGGCATTAGGCGACCTAAACTTTGATTTAATAGCTCGACTTGAAAACAAGTCTATATAAGAGAGTAAGAGCTTTTACACACCAACAGTCTACAATATCAATCACAAGTACATGATAATTTCTACACACATACATTATTAATAACCATACCACAATATTGCAATTATTTGTAGGATCTTGCTAACAAACGCCCCGAGCGTTAGATAAAGAATAATTATATTGGTTGAAACAGTATTAAGTTAAGAATGCATAACAAAATCACGCATCGTTCGGTATAATTAATGTTAGTTTTTAATATAATATTTCCACTTTTAATTCTCTTATCTAACACCCGGAGACACTCATTAGCTTTTGCCTTACTTATATACTTGGGAAATTATGTAATTAGCTATGATTAACATAATTAATATGCGGAGCATAAACTCTTCAATTGATGCAAAAAATAAAGATGGGCCAATTTTCCATTATTCATAAACTCATTTGGGCCAAATTTCCATGACCATAACTCATTAACCCAATTTGTAAAAAAAATTATCAAAAACCATTAAAGTGAAGATACCATAAATATTGAAACTTGCTTATACGAAACTACTCTACAAATGCAAGCATTTCTTTCTTATCTTCCTCTATTCTAACAACTAAAGTCTAATGAAAGCCTTAAAGCTAGCCCTCCATGTATACAACAAAGCTAGAATTAAAGGGAACCCAAAATGAACATCACATCTTAAAATGTACAGCAAAGGACTACAAACTACTAATACAAACTCAACCATATTATCTCCTAGGTTTTTTCTTAAATTTTTCACCACCATCTCTACCACCAGATCTTCCACCTTTCGCTGAATCCGGTGTACTACCACTCATCATCGCTGCCTTCCGTTTTGGCGGCCTACCAATCCCTCTCCTCGACGCTGCTGCCTCCTTCTCGCCTCTCCTGCCTGAACTCCTCCTTGTTGTATTCATCACCTCTACATCTTTACTAATATTTTTCTTCAAATTCCCACCTGTCTTTCTAGCATTACTATTGTTAGTAACTTGGGTTTTTTCTCTTACCCCTCCTTCCTCCTCATCCTCCTCAGAGTCGTTATTTTTCGCCTTCTCTTGACTAGAAGGCGAATTTTGCTTCATCCTCTTCAAGAACTTGGCCACACCTTGTTTCTTCAAAACAGGGGTTGGTGTTCCTTTCTCTTGCTTTTGATCCGCGTTGTTTATCTTCCTCCTTTCCATTACTTCAGCCCTTTCACCCTCGGAGCTCTCCTGTTTACTATCTTTACTAACATTCCCCATTTTCTCCCGTTTATTACCTTCTTTACTAATGATCTTCTTCCCATTGCTATTACTCAAACGCAACCCTCCATTCCCCAAATTCGATCTCTCTCTTGTAAGCAACTTCTTCAAGTTTTCATCACCACCACCACCTCCTTTATCGCCTTTTTTCTCCTTTTCTTTCTTACTCGAAAGAGAACCACTGCTGATATCATTACTACCATTAATTCTCTTCTGACTGTGATCAGGCTTTACTTTTTCCTCGCGTCCATTGACCACATTACTACTAATATTATTCTTACTATTAGTAGTGCTCGTAGTATGATTAGTATCCGCCTTCTTCATTCCATCTGACAATGCTTGCATTGAGTTGGAGATTCGTCTCCTGCACACAACCATGGTCGTAGAGGATCTGGGTTTCTTCACCACAGGTTCGAGGTTTTGAGGTTCCTGGTCCGATTTCCTTGGTTGGACCTTGGGCTTTCGGGTTTTTTGGGCAACTTCGTCCATTACCAACCTCCGAAGTTCCTTGGCTGCAATATGCTCTGCGGTGCTCTTACGGTAAAAGAGCACCGCATTGGTGAATGTAAGGATGAGGTCACGGTAAAATTTGGGATGACAATCGCAGTATATACCCTTGTCAAGTCTGGATTGAACTGTATCTAAATCCATGTGTTGGCGGATTACATTCCTGTATTTTTCAGTTTCCTGCAACACCCAAATAGTGTAAGAAAATTTTACTGAAGATAAAAAAAATGTCAGCTAAAGCATTACACTCTGTAATCTGTATGATACGTATACAGTCACAAAAGTCGATAATTCAAACAAAAATTTATCAACCTCTCACATAACTATGCGTTCATTTAATTATAGATCACCAAATAGTTAAATCAACCTAACAAAGTCTCATATAACTATGCGTTCATTTAATTATAGATCACCAAATAGTTAAATGAGCGTGTGTAAAACTATGAATTGTGTAAATGCAAAAAGTTACATCTACATATAAACGGATGACGTATAGATTAAGGGCACGGGGTCTTTGACGTCCATTCAGTGAGATAGGGTAGTAGAATCAGCAAGTGGCTAAATTAATCTAGTGTACGGACAAATGAGCAGCTCAAATGTAACTGGTTGACAATACAGCATAACATCCTCATTTTCCTCCTTTCTTTAGCAATTTATTCGTTAAGTACGGAGTAATAATAAACAATGACAGCATAAATCAAGGAGAGCCTGAAATCATATGCCCCTAAAACTCCAAAATAAAATACTTTATTAAGGTAGTTAAGCAAAGAATGAAAGCAAGATTTTCTCATTTTCGAAGTCTTGACTCTCACAAACATGAGGATTAAATCCTTACCATTAGATGACTAAGTAGTGAAGTACTCCATAATTCGTATGCATGCATAGTTTAACGACATAGAGGCATGTTATTATACGTACGTGTAAAGAAAGGTGCATGAAGATGATATGTTAATGTTCATGTAACTAATGTAAGTACTCCTAACTAAACGTGCGTGTATAGCCTTGTTTTTACGTTTTAGCCCTTTATAAAAACAACACCAAAGGAATACAAGCATTTTTTTTTGTATAGCCTCTACTAGCCTATGCCTATTGCCTATTAGTCAAAATTTAAGGATTTAATAATATTTATTAAACTAATTTTAAAATATCAATAAGTTTATAGTTGGTCAAATTAGAGCTAAATATAAACCCAAAAGGAAAAAAAAAAATAATATTCAAAAGGGTATCTTTGCTAAAAGTTGATTATAAAAGTTGTTTATCTATTCTAATTTATTCGAACTCTCAAGATTATAAAAGTTGTTTATCTATTCTAATTTATTCGAACTCTCAACCCATGTAATGTAAACCCCACCAAGAACAATGAGTTCACTCACTGTTTAAGCGGGGTATGTCAATAAGAATCAATATGATATCGAGGGACAAAGAGCTACGGAGTAACAACTTAAATTGGTGAAACTGGTTTCACGTAAATCATCTGAAAGAAATAGCATATTTATGGAATGATACTTCTCGTTAGAGAAATGAACATTTTCCAACAATTTATGGTTTCCATTTACGAACAACATGAATAGCGTGCTAATTGTGTTCAACACCCGTAAAAGAAATTACTCGACTTCTTTTTTCTGATTTATGATCTTACATCATCCCAAAATAGATAAATTTGTTACCTCTTCATCCAAAATTATGGAGTATAAACTATAAACTACGGAATATAACACTTTGATTAGGTAATTTTTAATTATTACGGAGTACTAAGAATTTAAGAAAGATGATTACTCCATAGTATTTAATACATAAAAAGTTAAATTTTGGTAATAATCGTGGGACATGCAACTTCAACAATTTCAATAAGGACATGTAAGTCACATACAAACTTTTCTAGTCACATTGAAATTAGTTGGGAACGGGAAAATAATCATGCCCATGCTGAGTACATACATGCTTTTTCTAGACACGTTTAAACTTCGAACTAGTTAGAAACCGTAAAAAGAGCATGATAGGTAACATACATACTTTCTCTAATCACGTTAAAATAAGTTATATTGGCCCCTTTATTCCCAAATCTCTAGTTTCTTTACATATAAATGTATATATTAATAGTGATGGTTATTTAAAATAAAATAAAATAAAATAAAATAAATAAAAAAATAAAAAATATTGGTAATGAACTCGTACGAAATATGAAGGTATATTTTTAAAAAAAAAAAATAGACAAGACAAACACCTAATTTGTTAAAAAATATATATATATAAATTAAGATATTCATAATTAAAGTTATGTGTTTGATAGTATGGATCCAACCTAAACAAGATACGGGCACTCTAGTCCCTAGATTTGAGGAGTTGAGGACATGAATCAAAGGCCAAAGGTAAGTATTTACGTAAAGTTTGGGACGTAAAATAGACCAAAACACGCACGTACTATATCAGCTCCACAATATCAATGATAATCATAATAGTACGTCGTCCCAGCTTTTCAAAGAGAAGCACAAAATATAATTAAGGAAAAGGTCAAAGTTTTAAAAGGCCCCACTTACACCTAACGGCTTTCCGTTCATCTTGCCGTTTGCCAAGAATATTTTCACTACTTTTCACACACACAAAAAAAAAATTAAACCTTTAAGTTTTGAACAATTATATTTAGTCTATAGGAGTC